GCCCCTTACTTTGGTGTGGAGTGTCAGAGTATTTGGTCCCTAAGAAATGCTCCAGTCCCCTACCTTGAAGTGGAACTATTTCATGAGCCTAGAGCAAAATGCTATCAGCTACATTATTTATGAAGTTAAGCTTATGCTATGAGATTGCTGTAATAAAAGGATCTCACTAATCTGTAATCTGCTATGTGAGCTTGCTAGAATGTGTAATTGTAGGATCAGGGCTGCAGGAATTACCTAGTGTGTGATCTATGGCTATTGCTTGGCAATTGAAAGTATTCAGTTCAAGGTCTTATTCAGTTCTGTGATCAGAAGGGTCATGGTCCCACTGATGTTACTGAAACAAATAATCTAGTTTTCTTTCACTTGCAAAATCTTTTGGATGCTTTCCAAGTTGATTCGTAGATGTGATTAGCCACCTACTTTCAGGAAGCTAGAAGACTGTGGAATACACCTGCAGCACAGTGGAGCCAGCAAGCATGGGCCCATGTGTCTGGGGACTGACCCTGACATTGGTTATGAAGAATTGGAAAATGCATGTTGGCTTGGAGACAGAGGCAACTCCAGTTGATAACCACACTCTTTTTGACCAATAAGTTACCAAAATTACCTCTCTGCTCCCCAGACTGCATTGCTGAAGAACTCTGGAGAGATTTGTAACAGGCTTGCAAGTCATATTGGAGTCCTTAGAGTAACAAGCACATTTAGGGTTCACACTCTGTCACAAACTTGTGAAGCATCTATGAACAGCTGAACGGGGAGGCAAAAAAGTTCTACTTTCAAAAGGTCAGAACTACAGATGGAAGAATTTTCTGGGAGCTTATGTTCCTCATTTCTCTCTTTACAGTCCTAGTGACTCAGGCAGTCTACTTTGGTTTTGCCAACTCCTTTCACAGCAACTGCCATTAAAGGACTATTGGGGGCACATTGCTGAACACCGAGGATGTTTTTTGAAACAGCAATCTGGTTTGTGTTGCTTGTGGACATTGTATGGGTGCTTTTGTCCCAGTATTGCATATCTGAACCAGCACATGTTCCCCGATATACAGATTGGAAGCTGGCAGAGCTGGATCAATTACTTGAATTTTGAACAAAGTTTTGCTGTGACTGGACCCCACAACTACCTCTCATAGTTGGTTCCCAGCTCACTGCCTGAAAGTTGAGGTTATACCCTGTGTCAGTGGTACATAAAGGTAACACCAAGCTACAGTCTCCCCATGGTGAGACAGAACAAACTGTTCTATTTAGCCTCAGCTTGAAATAAAATCTGAAAGGTCCACAGAAGTCTATTCAGGCATTCCTGTGATCATGTGATTGCAGGAACTACGTAAGATCAACTCAGATGGATTTTGCAATCAGTGTGATGGACATCCGAAACCTCTCTCTCATCTGGAAAATAGAACCAGACAACTCATTAAATGGATTTATTAGAAATATGTAGCGATCACACTGCTGCGTAACCAGGATACCCTGAAGTCTGTGTTGTTGAAGACAAGGCGAAATTAAATACATCAGGTAAACCTGAACCTTTGCAGATGAGTTTGGGGAAACCTTCTGACTAGAAGAAAATTGAAATGTAAAGGGTTTCTATCAATAGAAACTGCTCCCATAACCACATCTGCAGTGCTTTTGGAGCCTTTTGTGTGTGAGAGAATATAGATATGCTTCCATGAGATTCATACAGGTCAAAAAGTCCCTTCACTAGGCAGTCTCTGCTGCTGTCATGAGAATTTCCACTGACTTGTCTGTCTGTTGAAGCCAACGACAGCAGATAAAGTTGAGCTTCTTTTAAAGTTTTCAGAAAGAGATAACTGATTAATATTCTGAATACTATGTTAGTTTTTCTTTCTTTATGTTGGCCTTGAATTTGCATTTTGGAGAGAAAACAAATATGTTGACTGAGTTCACATGACATTGTAAGCCCAGGTGGTTTAGTATACTATTGAAACATGGGTTCACTTCCTAGAACATGGTTTATAAGCCCAGTTATAAGCTACTCCTTGAAGCCATGGCCTGTCCTGGGGCTTCTAAACCAGCCAAAACCCTTCCACAGCTGCCTGGCAAGGGGAGGAAAGGCACGCCACACTGACCAAGAGCTCTGGATGATAACATCTGAACACACTTGGAGGCAGCTGTCAGAGCCTCTTTGTGCCATGGTAGCCACCAGCCTGAAAGGGTTAAGGCATGAGATAAGCCTTGTTCTACTCAGCCTCCTTTAGAGGAGGTTGAGCAGAACACCCCCTGCCCCATTCATTGTGTGGCCATGGTAGCAGGCAGGGCAGGGGAAAAGCCATGGTCTGCTCAGAAAGACAGAGCATGCCACTTGGGAAAAGGAGGGAGCGCCAGCAAGTTTGTTGGAACTGCCTCTTCTTTACCACCAGCCTGAAACTGCTGTAGGGCAGTCTCCTTATCCTTGCAGACCCCACCTCTGACAGTCACTGGGTGACCATTGCATTGAGTAAGCTGTCATTGGGCAGCAGGCCAATGACAGTGTGGCTCACCCCACTATCCGCCATGTGGTTGCCAGGACCCAACAGTGAAGAGTGTGAGAGACATGCTCTCATCAGCCAGGCCAATGACAATGTGGCCCAGTTCCCATCTGGTTCCCAGGTAGCCACAGTCTGAAATGGGAGCAATGTGGCAGGACAGCTCTGCTCATGATGTTGGCAGAGGCCTGAGTGAGTGAGCTCTTTCTGCCAATATCTGCAGTGGGGTGAAAAGCCCTCTCTGTGACTTTTGAAGTCAACTCTTGAGTTGGGGTTAGGGCTGTCAACAATCCCTTCTCTCTGCTCTGCTCCCCTTGCTGCTGATGTGGTGCCTCTGGGATGCATATGGGTGGAAAAGGAGAGAAGAGCATGGAGGAAGTAGCTCATGCTCCTACTGTTCCCAGTTGTCCCTTGGGCACTGCAGGACCCCCAGGCTAAATGGAAGCCTAAATTTGAAGCTTAAAGGGAGTGCTGGTCACTGCCTGGAGGAAGTGAAACTGCAAGTAGACCAGTTTTCCTTCCCCAGTGCAGCCCCTTCCAGGTTGAGGAAAACTTCGGAACAGTTTTAGAAGCTGCAATGCTGAAGGGAGGACAAGGAACTCCCATTGCTCCAAGAGATGTCTTCTCACGATAATAGATCCACCACATACTGAGGAATGCAAATGAGTTCAGGTTCAGGGGTGGTGAACCTGTGGTCTTCCAGATGTTGTCAAGATTCCAACTCCTATTAACCCCATTTAACATAGCCAGTGGTCAAGGATGATGGGACCTGTAGTCCACTATCCAGGGGGCACAGGTTCTATATTCCTGCACTAGACAAAGCTTCTTAAATGGACTGAATTGCCCAGGTGCCTATAGAAGTCCCTCCACCCAGTATTTTCCCTAATGCCAGCTGGATATAGGCATCATACCAGAACCTGTGAAGTCTCTGAAATCCCAAATGTAAAGCCACCGCTTAAGGATCATATTGGGGACTTTGGGTGGCTTCTGATCATATCTGTAGACCAATTAAATAATTCCTCTGTATAATTTGTGTGAACATTTCTGAAAATCTCAGTATATATATTTTTATAAAATAAATAGCAGCTAGATATAGAGTAGTACTGCAGAAGCTCTTTCAACCAGAGGGCTGAATTTCATTTTGGAGGAGTATGTGCATTCCAGTGGTGAGCAGGAGAAAAGGGGCAAGACAACCCCACCGCCAGCACACTTTAGCATAAAGCTCTTACTACCAGTAACTAAGCTTTAGGGAATGCATTCCAACCTTTTAGGGTGCAATCCTATGCAAGCATTGACAGAAAAATGGGCTAAAGTTCCCCATATGTCCCAGCTAGGAAGACTGGATTTCGTAATGGATAAACTTGCAAATTTGTCAAATATGGCAGATGCAAGCTTAAGATGCTGCATTATTTTTCCTGGGTCATTGTGAGAGAAACTATTGTTGGATTATGTATTTAGATCTAAGAAAATGGAGCATGTATGTTAATTCTACTGCAGTGTGCAGAACCCCATCATAGTGTGATGACTTTTAAGAGCAAAGTGAAGGGCCTCAAAGGGGAAGATTGGATCAGAAAGCTCACGTGTTGTTTCAATGGGGAGGATAGGAAGAGATCTAGTCCCCAAGACTAGAAGTACAGAACCTCAGGCCTAGAGGCCAGGTATGTACCCACTCCCCACGGGTTCCCCCAAAACCATGTCCCATTCCTCCATCTAGAATTTGCTTTTGTGGCTCTTGTGCAGTTCCCTCTCCCTCCCCTGAGATCTTGAACTTCCCTTTGGACTTAGTTGCTAGCAAGAAATTTTAAGCTGAAAATGTCCCAAGCCTCCAACTCAATCCACCATAGAGTGGTTTTGGCCTTCAAATGCCAACAGTTCCAATCAGCACAGCCAATGGTCAAGCATGAGAGCACCAGCTTAGGAAAGGTTCTCCTAGATTTCTTGCTCCTCATATGGAGATAGAATCACATCAAGTTTTATTAGACTGGAGTGCAAGTGAGGAAATTTTGTTAAGAGTTCCCTCCTCAATTTTGAGAACTTCTTGGAGGTATGGAGAGACAATCTAATAGCTTCCACTCATTCTGTGGTGCTTGCATGCTTTTTATTTAAAACCTAATGGCCCTACTTACTACACCTAGCCCTTGAAACTGGATGAGAAGAGAAGGGGATTATTCCCATCTGTTTTAGCTTTAAGTTTGACTGTGGGGCAGATTCAGTTTCCAGATCCCTCAAGTAGCAGCCATTTTAGCAATTGACAAATTCTAGGTGAAGGCATTCACCAGCAGGCCTGCTTTACTGTAAATAATAAACCTACCTGTTTCCTGATTATTGGGAGGTGCAAAACCTGAAAACAACCCTCAGTATACTGACATTACAAGATGTATAACCAAAGTTCTGAAAAGTTCAATTTGCTTGGCTATATTATGCTAATTGTACTCAGCATGCACAATACCTTGCATCAGGATGTTTCTATGCAATACATTCATTTCCAATAAATCAAACTTCAAAGAAAATTCTTGCTTTTAGACTTATTAATTTTTTATTTAAGGTAAGAGCTTCTCTAAAGTAAAGATTATAAAATGGATGAATCCAATACAATTCTCATCTTCAGAAACTGTAACAGAAGTACTAGTTCATTTTAGCTAAAAAACATCTTATACAAAAGCATCTGAACATTAGATCAAATTTGTGTAGATTATTGAGTCCAACTCATTTACATAAGAATGTTTTAAAAAGGACAAGGAGTAAAACATTTTGCACCATCAAATCAGCTATGAGCTGTTAAGTCTTCATTCCTTGAACATCCTTGGTCAAAGCTTGTCAGTCAAACATCCAAAAGTGAAAACACTTGGCATATTCAAGTAACCCTGAGTATATAGTGCAATAGCACAGAAGTCATACATGAGAAGTCCATTGGCTACATCTTAAAGAGGAAAAATCAGTTAGCAAATTATTGTGCTGGAAGGATATAAAGTTCCTTTGCAAAGGAGGAAAGCAACTGGTCTCTTTCCTAGACTACTGAGGTAGTCCAAGGAGAAGAAAGAAAGTTATGAGGCTACAGGAAAGTGGAATAACAATGGATTTCTTCTTTGTGCCAGGTAGTTTTCTCAGCCTAAGGTGATGAGGGTCAGCTGTCTTAATGTTAAGTCACAGCCTTGTGTAGGAAGCAGGTCAGTAACCAACAGGGGGCAGAGTGGAGGGACAGCAGAGGGGCCACCTCCCTCAGTCTTTGCCCTAAAGTGCAGTTAATTGAATAGGAGGACACAAGCCAGAATAAAGCAATTGTAAACAGGTGACTGACATTCATCTCCATTCGTTTGTTCGCTACATGGGGATGGGGGAGACAAGCAAAGCCCGGGTTTTTTCCCCCCTTTCTTCAATACTCGGAGGGTGACAAGAGGGGGCGGGCAGGGGAGAGGAAGAGTACCGCGGTTCTTTTCTCCGTCATTCTTCCTCAGCAGCCGGCCAGTGGGAAGCGACGGAGCCTCACCAAGGGCGCCAGGTTCACCCGCAAGATGCGCTCCGCCCTGCGCCGGGCGGCTTCCAAGCTGCGCCGCTTCCACACGTTTCCGCGCACTTTGATGGTGGGGAAAGCGGTGAGGCTGGGAGTGGCCTCCCTCCAGATTTCTTCGAGAGACCTGCCCTCAAAGGGAGTCCACGGGGGAAAGGTCAAAGCCCCCGGGCCAGGGGACGCCTGCTCCTCCTCTGTTTGGGGCTGCTCCTCCTGCAGCCCCTCACCACCGGAGGAGAGCGCCTCTGGGGGCGACGGGGCCGCGACCAGCACCGCGCTGCTGCGCTTTCTGGCCACCTTTTTTGCACCGGCGCCGCCTCCTCTGCTCTTAGTGTCGCCTCCAGCAGCAGCTCGCAGGCGCCTCCCCCTGGCGGCGGCTCTCCTCCACGGCCGGTCCCTTCTGCTCGCTGTCGCCGAAAAGCCCCCGGGCACGTCTGGCACCACGGCCCGGCAGGAGGCGTATCCATAAACGTCCTTGCTGCGGAGGATGACCGGCGAGAACTCGTGCTTTAGGCTGCACAGGAAATTCCACAGCTCGGCGTCCGAGCTCATGAACTCCGTTGACTGGGGCACTACCAGCTTGAAGGCGTCGCCCAGCGCTTTGGTGCCGTCGCAAAACAGTACCTGCGAGCGAGAGTGAACAACTTTCTCCGCCGCCGCGGCCGCCACTTCCGAGCTCGGCGGGTCCAGCCTGGGGTCGACGGCGGCCACTGGGGCAGCAGCGGTGGCAGCTGCCGCCGCCGCCCCATGGCTAGCGGCGGCTCCAGCTCCTCCTTGCTTCATCCTCTTTCTCCTCCTCCTCCTCGCGCCGTGGCGCTGGCGGCTACTACTGCGAGCTCCAGTCCTCTCCAGCGCCGCCGCCTGCCGTCGGGCAGCTATTGCGCCCGGGAAAGTGGTGTGGGATCAGGGGCCGCTCTCGATTTCTGCCTCCTGCTGCTTTCTCCACAGCTCCCCCTTTCTTCTTCCCTTTTTTAAAGCTACGTAGGAAGAGGCACTTTTTCTTTGCAATCCTTAACTTCTTCCGTTTCAACAAGGCGGAAGACACTGATCGATATCCTACCGCCTCTCAGACAGCCGGCACAAAATGGTGCTCTTTTAAAGCCCTTCGCGGGGAGGTTGCGTTTTCCACGCCTTTCCAAACCCTTGGCTTTCTTTAATTGGCCGGTTTGAATTGCATCACTCAGGGAAGCCCCACCCCCACGAACCACATCAGATCAAATCCATCATGGAAGCCATTATATTTCCTGAAGAGATGCAGGCTGAAGGAGTTGGTGGTAGCTTGGGCTTCTTGCTCTTTACATCTTTATTCTTACACTCAAGTTCCATCCTTGTCAATAGGAATTACTTCCAAGGAAAAAAGGCTAGGATTAAGGAACTTGAACATACCCAAATATTGCATCCATCATCCGTACAAGCTTGTAAGATGCTTCTATGAAATGAGAGAATTTGATCTACTTGTAAAAACATTCTGCATTTATAAATTTATATTCTTTCCCCCATTTAATGGATCAAACTATACTGAAATCAGTGGGATTTGTTTTCTAAAAAATGCACATAAGGGTGGAATGGGTGGCTTCAATATTAAATACATTTACAGGTAATTTTAGTTCAGCTCAGTAGTATTTACTGCCAGACTTGTTGGCTTAACGGATTCTTAGACTCTTCAGCTCTTTGCTTATGGCTCTGTGACTGACTTCATGCATTTCATCAGTACTAGGAGGAATGCCTAAACTATGTCCAGGTAATTGTAATTTGCTATTATTTTGTGTAGTTTGACATGCTCACAACAAGTTAATACATAAGCATAATAGTTTGATAGCTATTTCCCAAAGAAGTGCTTTGTTAGATTGGAATTTTAAATAGGATTCTGAGCATGTGCTCAGTGCTCAGCAGACCAGCCATTAAAAACCAGCTTATTTGTCAGAACTTTAATTTGAATCACTCTTGTAATATTCATTTAACAACAGCAGAAACAAAAATCTGTACACCTTGGTCACATTCTCACTGATTTCTGGAAAACAGTAAATTATAAAGCCAGTTACATCTTTAATATTGCCTGCATAGTCTTGAGTGAAACTGTAGTTCACTGATCTACCATCCAACCACCTGATGACACAGCTTTTTGTGGGGTTTATGTATCTTCTTCATCACAGTAAGTTCTCCAAATTGTTTATTGTGAATGTTTCTATTTGGTGATTGGTCCTCACCCAGATCCAGTGTTTTTTTTGTAAGAAAAAAGGTGCCAGAACTCATGAATTTATTTACCTTTTGCATGTAGTCAATCACTGTACACACACCCACACACATCAGTTGTGTAACAAAACATAACAATCGCCACCCGCAGTAAGCACTCAGCGCGCGACCATATGACCAATCACAAGCCAAGCAGTGCCACAAGCTAAGCAGCGCCATCACAACCAGTGTGGATGAAGTACACATGCATCGGACTCGACGCACAAGCAGCCCGCATGCACCGTTTTAATGATTTTGCCGCCGACCTGCTACGCTCGACAGGGCGATTCAAATCCACATGGACCAAACATCAAATTTTCAAAAGTTACTTTTAAAACTTGGAAAATTTGTTGAAAAAAGGTGCTGGAACTCTGTTCCGGTGCGTTCTATGACAAAAAAAGCACTGCCCAGATCTAAAATCTGCTTGCATACACCATCATGGCTGGCGCTCTGGAATGGTTGCAGGAAAGATGAAATTGAACTACAAATTCCAGGGCTAATTAAAAAATGCACTTGAATACAAAATCAGTATGCTTTTGCCTGCATTATGTGTTAAAAGAAGGCTGTTGGGAAACAGATTAGCTTTTTCAGAAAGCTTGTAAACCGTGACCCATTTCCAACATGTTGGTGGAGTTTATCACTAATTCTAATCATATTTACCTGAAAATCAGAACTGCAGACTTTGTTCCATATCTTCTTATTCCTTTCCTGTGCTCTGTGATGTGTATCAAGAAGTTACTCCTTCCTTCTATGTCTTCTTGATACTCCCTCAGTTACTCTAAGTCGATGCACTCCAAAACCACCTCTTTTATTTCTCCAGAGGAAACACCAGATACCAATCAGAAGCATCACTTTCATTTTTTGGTAATTCCTTACATGTAAGGTTTTTCACCCCTTTTTCATATTTTGTATCCTGAAGTGTTTGTGGAATCAAATTCTGATAAAAATGAGTATAATGACTGCAGATGAGAGGGGAACATATACAGGAAATGTACTAAAGGAAGTAAAAAGGAGAACAATGTGAGTCTTACAAGAGATGCCAATTGTGCATTAAAAAATCTGGATTTTTTAATTGCAGCTGGTAACGCAGAGATAGAGAAGAATGAACAATGTTCCTCAGGAAAGGTTTTTACGCAGTGGTCCTGAATGGAGAACTGAACATCCTGAAGATTAAGAAACAAGGGACTTTCACAATAATTCTAAAAGCAACCTTGTAGCCTCTTACATTCAACAGTGTAAATAAGCTGTGATGCAGTTTTGAAAGTTCAGTGATTGGAGGCTGTATAAGAAAATGGATTTGTATTTGCATCTCAACTTTTACATGTACAAAGAGATGCACTATTATTTGGATTCTGCCTGCATGATTATTTCTGTGTAGGTACCTTCAGAGTTCAGCTAATGTGGAGGTATATTTTTCATCATTTCCTAAAGAGGAGCATTGAGACCAGGCCTAGTGTCAGCCAGGCCGGGCAGCAACTGAGGGCCTGGAATCTCAAAATGGACCATCCCTGCTGACTCCTAAGACCCCCTACTCAGCCTCATGACTGCTTGTCCCCTGGAGAGCCACATCAGCAGAAAAGTTACTGGTGCAATTCCTCAGAGGGCCTCCCCCACTGAAATGCCTACCTGAGAGGGTACTTCCTCAGTGCCAGGCATTTTGGAGATTGGAGAGGTGTCCCAGGAGATTGCCTGTGCTGCAGAGGATCTGGCTTATCTTTTCCCAGGAGCAGCTGCATGCCCCTGTGCAGTCAAAGTTAACAGAGGACAGAGAGATGCCCCAAGAAATTTTGCATGGCACATGTGATCTCCTGGGAAGCTGCTCCAGTTTCCACAATGCCTGGCTCTGAGGAAAGACCCCATCCTGGTCAGGCAGCTGGTGGTGGAGGGCAGTGATTGGAGGGAGTTGGTGGCACTGTGGATGATTGGAGGTGAAGGGCAAAGGGGAAGCAGTGGCAGTGCAGATGAGTAAAAGGCATGAGCAGAGGGGCTGTGGGAAGCAGTGGTGCTGGTGGGAGGAGGCAGCAGTCACATGGGCAAGCAGTGGCGGGAGAGGAAACAAATGGAAGCTAGGATAGCTGAAGCCTGGGAGTAGAGGACGGCCTTAACCTGACACTAAGCAGATGAGCGTTTCAGTAAGACACACCTCAGTGGGGAGAACATTCCATGATCAGGGGCCACCTCTGAGAAGACCATCTCCCTCGGTGCCATCTTCTGAGCCTCCCTCAAGTCAGGAGAGATGCTCCATGAGGGATTCTGGTCCTGAGCCATGTAAGTCTTCATGGCTTAAAAGCAGCACCTTGAAGCAGGCATGAAACATGCAGGCAGGCAATGTAAGTGGCCAGAATTGGTCTTACGTGTTCAGACCTTCTGTTCCCTGTTACATTAATGTGAATGCTGCATTAGCACAAGTTGCAGATTCCTAACAGTCATCAAAGGCAGTACCACACAGAATACCACTGACTCAAAGGCTAACAGAAGATAGACTACTGAAGCCAAGTTATCCCTGTCCAGGTAGGGGCAAAGCCAGTCTGCCAGCCAAAGATGTTACTCCATGCGCCATGTTACTCCAAGGTACTGAGGTGGTTTCAGGAGAATGCCCCAAACTATGAACCTGCCCCTTCAGGGAGAACGCCATTCCCTCCAGAACAGGATGAGCACCCTCTATCTGGTCAGGAGGGTCATGCAGTAACAGCATCTCATTCTTGTCTGGACAGAGCTTCAGTTATTAGCCCTCATCCAGACCATTGTCACAAGAAGGCACTGATTCAGCACATCCACAGCCTCATCTGATAAAGATAAAAAGAAGTAAAAATGCTAACAGCAGTACACTCCAAAAATCTGTATGCCTTACCCACAGTGTTATCATGCAGGTGTTAATTAGCATGGGAGACAAAACCAATCTCTAAAGAACCTTATGCTAAAAAGTCTACACTGTATCACCTTCTGTAGCCATCCTTTCTAGGAGGACCAGAACCTCAGCAACTCAGTAATCCCACTCCCAGCTCAGTCATTTTAGAAGGTTACCTTGGTCAATAATACTGAAAGCTGCAGAGAGCTCAAGGAGACTCAAGAGGGTCACATTCCCCCTGTCTCTCTTTGACATAAGTCACCAAACAGGTTGACCAAGGCTGTTTTCATGCCAAATCCAGCCAAAACCACAACTGAAATGGATCCGGTTAATTGCTCTGATCAAGGAGTGTCTACAACTAGTTGTCACTTTCTCAGGAAAGGAACATTGGCCACCAGCTACAATTGTTAAGATTCTTCAAGTCCAGGAAATATTTCTTCAGAAGTGATCTCACTACTTCCTTTCACAAGGTGGCATTAATCATCTCTGTAATCCAGCTCTTTTTAAACTGCCTGCTGGCTTTTATAAGTGAAGAGGAGCAAGAATCCAATACAGAAGAGGTTGCTTAAACTGGTCCAAGCATCTTGTCAACATCCTTGTGCTGTTGCAACTAAGATCATCCAAGAAAACTGGACTAGACTGTTCTAGATTCATGGCAGTGATAAAGTCAATGCGTTGTGGTGGTTAGAGTGTTGGACTTGGGATCTGGGAGATCTGGGTTCTAGTCCATGAGACAGTCACAGACTCAGCCTAACCTACTTACAGGGTTGTTATTGTGAGGATAAAATGGAGCCATGCAAGCTGCCTTGGAACCTCACCAGAGGAAAAAGGGCTGGATGTACATGCAGTGTAATAAAAATAAAGGATTTTGGAATCAACTTAGTGACACCATGTCCAGAGGGAGATATTTTCAACATTTAGATAAGCAGAGCAATATGGTAAGAGTATTATATATGAATGAGCATCCTTTGTCCATATGGACTGCATTCGAACCCTTCCTGTGACTTTCCTCATCTATCATACAGCATGCAGATATAAATGGCTGGAGGAGTTCTGATGCACATGTTAAAATAGCCATAGATACTATCTTGTTCCCCTCGAAGAACTGAAAAGTTTAAGGATTGTTTAAATAGGGATCCATTTTTATAATAACTATGGTTGAAT